AGAATATGAAGTCATTTTCTCGAAAAAAATTATTTGCACAATGTAATATTTACTTTAAAATCAAAAATTTGAAATCAAAAAAAAAAACATTTGCATTGTTTTTATTCCATCAAATTGATGATTGCTTATTAAAGTTTTGTTATGTAAAACCAGTTTTTTATCATAGAAAAGAAATAACATTTTCTCACAATTTCAGTCATATACAACAATTTTTCTTCAATTTCCCAATTCAGTATTTGAAAAATTTACTTACAATTCAGTGAAGTAAAAAATGAAAATATTTCATTATAAAGTATAAATTAAGAGCATGTATGTACTTGTTATAATTTAATTCAAATAAAAATAATTTATTCGTTGCAAATTAATTACAACATTAATTGATTAAATCAAAAACAATATGAAAAAATTTAAAATCCTTTTTAAATGATAATATTGCAATAATTTTTCAGTTATTTATAAACTGTTGACTTATTGATGACTTAATTATGAATTGAGTTATTACTCAATTAAAAACAGATTAAAATGGTTTGAATTTGTTTTTTAAACAAAAATTACAGTTTTTTAGTCTAATAGAAGTTATTGATCATTTGTGCTTTGGTATTTTTTTCACCAATAGTTTTTTGGTTAACTTTTTTGTCTGATAACTTGATATAAGTGCTTTGCTCCTACAAATAATTCTATTTAAATATATTTGAAATTAGTTGAAGATGAAAAATTATTGTGATGAAGAACAGGAAGAAAATAACAAAGTCTCGCAAAACTAGTTTTTCTTACACCTCAAAAATACTCTTACAGCATTAAAATTTGATTCTAATTGAAGTAATTCCATACTGATTCAAATTATTGCACGAAGATTAAGCATTGCTAATTTGACTACTCAGAAAAAACGCAGCATAAAATTATCTTTAAAAAGAAATAGATGAATTAACTTGAATGATAAAATTTAAATCTCAAAAAATTTGCAGTTAATATTTATTTTTATTAATCAAAAATATTTTTCAAAAAAAGTCAATAACTGATTTTTTGAAATAAGTCAACAAAGAAATTAAAGCAAAATGCAAATGTTTAAATAATATTTGTTTGATTCAGTCTGTTTGCTTGCTTACATAGTCAGTCAAACTAAAGCGGTCAAAACTAAAAACATAATTTTTTGCTCAACTAAACAATTCTTTTGCATTATTATAAATAAAAATTGATCTGCATTATCAAATCACACTTTTCAATAATTTACATAAAACTTGATAATATCTCTAGTGAGCTTAATAATATCTGACGTTACTTTATTAGCAAATTTTCTCTGTTGCAATTAATATTGCAAATTGTCTTAATTACTATTACCATAAGTATTATCTATTACTTGGATTGATTTGAAATAATGGCAAATTTTTTCATCTTTGTGTAAACTTTGAAAAATTTCAATTCTATTACTCTTAAAAGCAAAAGTGTTAGACATTATTTAATCATCAATAAATGTATTATTCTGGTTTTATATCAATACAATTTTAGCGACTTTTATTTACAAAATACTAGGAACAATACTTTTGCAAAAGCTTAAAGTCAATTTATTTTTATACCTTAACTGAATCAACATTCACTAAGTCAAACTAATGCTTATATAAGAGAAAATATTTGCTTATATAAGAAAATGACTTTAGCTTAAAATCAAAATATTTTTATGCCTGTGGTTTGAAATAATCATGAAGTAATTTAGTCAAGAAACTAAATAAATGCAAACTAATGGTGCATATATTAGAAGATGAATTACAAAGTATTATTGATTTTAACTACAGACTTATATTTGATATTTTTTTAAACTAAACCTTTGACCTTCAACAATATGAAGTCAATAATTTAGTCTGCGCAGTACCAAATATTACAAAAATTACATGCAAAAATTACAGTAAATTTTTTGAAGTAAAACTAAAAGTAAAACGAAAAAAAATTGGATTGTGATAAAACAGGACAGCACTTTATTCAGCACGATGACATAAAACAAGAATGTGTGACACTCATAGCCAAAAAAAAGAAAAAGAAAAACTGTAAAACTCCAAAATATTTTCAAAAAAATTACAAAAAAGCAAAAATTTTAATAAATTAAAGAATATTTTAGCTCTTCCATTTATTTTATCACAAGCAATCACATACTAACACATTCCAAAAAAATGCTTACTGTTTAACTTTTTTATTAAAAAACAAAACAATTGCTTTTTGCAAAATCTCATGTTAGTATTGCTACTATATTCAATGCATATGCATTTAACACTCTGTTTTCACAACTTGACATAATCAACTCAAAATGAATATAAAAAGTAACTAAATATATCAACTAAATAATTAAAAATCAATAAAATATTGTAAATTTTAAATTAATTTTTGTTAATGCAAGGCATTTTATTCTTATTTTCAAACTAACTAATGTGATAATTTAAACTTTAATTTAATTTAATTTCCCCATGTAATTTTTGTTTGATACCGTTCATTTAATTGTATTTTTTACAGGGAAATACAATTAAATTTTGATAATTAAGAGCACCTTAAATTAATTTCAAAGACAATTTAGCCTAAAATGCTTAACATTTTATTGGTATTATCATATTTGCAAGTACAGGTATATTATAATCGAAGTAATGTGTTGTCATTACTTATTATTGGAGAAATTTTTATCCATTATGACACAAAATTAAAACATTCACAACATACATCTATGTTTAATGAAGACGGAATAAAGTAATGAACAGCGATTCGTATACAACGAAGTCCATTATAATGCTGTCATTAAGTGAAACAATAAATGTAATTTTTCTTATTTAAATATTAACAAATTACGATAATAATATTTATTAACTTGGAAAAACTTGAAATTATCATTTACTGAGTTATTGTAGTTAGTGATACATACTGTGAATCGGTTATGTTTCTCTGCATAACTTGATATAGATAAAGAATATTTAAGAAAAAAATTAATAAGCCATTATTTTCAGATTACAGCATCGTTCCAAAGTAAATCGTTCATTTGGCTCTCACTTTTACTAACTGAACTCATATACTTACACTCATCAAAATAAATAATAGAAAGTATAAATGATTTTAAGCTCAAACTTCAATATTCATCTATGTAATTCTAACTTAAAATCAGTAAAAACAGGATTCAGCAAGTTTGAAATATTACAATACGTGCATCCAGCATTTAGTCCCGTTATCTTCTCTTATGATATAATTGAAGTTTAGTGCCCAAAGTTTATTTTTTGTATTAGCATTGTGTTTTAAAATTTTATTAATCACAACTGATGTTGAAGCTAACCAAAATTAATCGTGAATAAGTAAGATTTTTACAGATAATGCTCATAGGAACTATGTCAGAACATTTATTTTGACAAAGTAAAGATCTATGCAAATAATTTTTCGTTCAAGTCAAATTTTTGTTTGTACTGATTGAGTTGTATGCAATGCAATGTGCAGCGATCAACTATATTTAGCACTTAAATTTGCATGAAAATGTTAATCATAATTGCTTACTAGTGAATACTTAAGTTATTAATCACATGTTTTATTGTTCAGTGCATTTATAATTAAAAGTTTACGTACTTTAAATGGTTCTAATCAAATGTAATCACTTTAATAATCCACTTATAATATAATTCAGTGTAATGTACAAAACCTTCAACTTTGAGGGCGATGATACTCATTATCTCTCAGTACAGTTCGGTCTGAAAGATGTGAAGAATCACTTGACATGACCGCTTTGAAGTTACCATTTTCATCGGATACAAACTTGCTGATAGTGCACTGCCCAACATAAAGCCATTCCCCAATTAATATCTCACGAATCATAGCTGTTGGACTTCCATGCGTTACAATAAGTATATCATCTGTAATGACATTGTTGAGCCATTAGAGTTCTTGAGTAAACGTTTAATTTACACACAAATTAAAAAAATTAATGATTCGCAAATATTTTTTTAAATTGATTCATAACTGAAAAAAATAAATCTGTATTTATGTTCTCAACTCATTTGTAAAAGCTTTGCATCAAATAAAAATTAATTGCTCCATTATTGAAAACCGTTCATTGATAACATTCGAACTCGAATTTATTAAATATTTTTAGAAATAAAGCAAGATTAATTATGAACATAATTTAGTGGTTATTTAATGCAATAATCTTATTTAAAACTATGATTTGCATAATAAATATGAAAAGCATCAATCATTAAACGTATAAAGTGTTATGGCTTAGATTAAATTCTGTTTTTTAGAGTCATCAGGGCGCAAGTTATTATAAATATACTTAAAAACGTTGAACTATGCATATAAATTTCTTACTTCCATAATTTTTTAATGCATGGTCAATTACTTTAATTAACCGATCTTTGCAAGCAATAATATCTTTTTCAGGTCCAGGATTAGCAACTACTGGTTGATAATTCAAATCAATTATTGGAAATTGTGCACTGAAATTTGCTAAATTAAACTAAAGTTTCATATAATATTTTATTAAATACGTAAACATTGGAATTTCTGTGTAAGAAAAAATTCACGGATCAGAAATCCTTTTTTTTCCCTCGGCAAATTTATAATCCGTAAAGTATTGCTTCCCAATAGACTAATTAAGTAGTAAATTTCTCAGATTGATTTAAGTATTTATTTTATCATATACTTCAAAAGTCATTGAATTTCTGCTTCGTATTAAGTAGTGTTACTACTAGAAATAAAAGAATTATGATTAAATATAAAACTCAAATAATTATTGAAAATTGTTAAAATTGTGATTGAAAACTTAAGAAAGCAAAGTAACCGACCTTAATTCCTTGGTAGACAAACATCCTGGTGGATATTGGCAGCAGTTTAGGGTTTCACAAAGTCCTTGCTCAATGAATAATGGCAACTTTGATGAATGTTCTTCAAGGATTCCACTTGCAGTTTGTACACACCGTAAAAACGGTGAACAAAGTACGACCGAGATTTTCTCTGTCTCCAATCGCTTGCCACACTCTCGTGCTTGATGTTTTCCTCGATCACTAAATAATTTGTCTTTTTCAAGCATTTTTAATCGTTCAACGAATATTCTACTTAAAATCATTTCTTATATTCATAATATTTAATACTGCTTTTCTTAGAACAGTTATTCGTGATAATAATATTTCTCAATTTATATATTACTATTATTGTTTTTAAAAGTATTTTTTGCACTAATCGTTAACTAATTTTTATTTAATTTATATTCTATTGCATATATCAATCTAATTGAATTAAATAATTTTGTTACTATTTATTTCTCTTCTTATTGCTTTTTAATAATTTTTGTACCAACGGTAGTTCAAACTTTAACTTTGTTAGTGAACGGTAAGAACACAGTTATGCATAATTTTTTGCTTAAAGCTGAGTAATTACTCGATTAAAAAACAAACTGTACTTAGCATATATAATATGTGAATAGAAAATGAAACCTTAGTGGTGGATCGTCCCATGCACCACGTGGCGCATGATCTTTCCACGTTTCATCAATGTTATCAGCTCGTTCGCCATGTCGAATAACCCAAATTGTCCGCTTTGACCGTTCATTCAAAGACATTTTCTACAAAAACAACATGAATAAATGAGCATAACGAGTCAAATCCTCTCAAAAATTCTATTATCAATAAATTTAAACATTAATGATGAATCAGTCAATCCAAAATTACTCTTACTCTTTAAACTATCATACATATAAGCTTTGATCTACAGAACAAATTTCCGTCTATAAAAATTTGAATTCGTACGGTATGCCGTAAAAACTTTGCTAAACAATGGCAAAATAATAAGATGAAAGTTATATATTATAGTCATTATTTTTATGCTCATAAAATTAAAAATAAAGTAATATCAATTGCATTTTACGATAAACAAATACCAATTATGCAAATCTATTTATTTAGCAGCATTTAATTCAAACGGATTATCGAATACAAAATAAGCAATAAAAATCAGCTAAAGATAACTTTCATATATTAAACAACAACAGTCTATTGCATAAATCATAACAGATTATAGTTCGAAAACAGTCTGATACTAAACACTTTTGCAATGTGAGACTTAAACTTAATAAGACATTTTAATTTGAGATAAATTTTCGATAATAATACATAGTATATTTAATAATTAATGAAAGTTGTGGAATGAAAGTGATGAATCAAAGAAATGTATTGGAAGAGCATTAAAACTATTTATAAACGATTCAGTCATGTGACTTCAAAGACAACTGCAGTGCTTCAGACAGATATTTCAATCGAAAACAACAATAGCTTGAACAACAATATGATCATTCTGATACAATCAATTTTTTCTCAAAACATTCAGATATGAACAAAAACAAATCCTTTTTGAATTATTAAATTCACGCATTTGCTTTATAAAAATCATTTTAAATACACAAATTTTTTGTTTTAGTTTGGTTAATTTTATTTTATTAAAAGTGGATAAATTACTCTATTTAAATTTTTTTTAGTATGCAATTAAAAGAATACTGTTTAATTAGAACAGACTGTATAAAGGTCATTTTTTTGTGACTAAATTCCAAGTCATTAAGTACAAGGATCAATGATATTCATCAAAGATATTCATCGAAGACTTTAATCGGCATTGATCAATTGGAAAGGTTATCTGTCTCAATCCGATAATCAGATACAGACTGCTTTGTTTGACACCTCCTTGCATTATTATTTTTCATAGTTAAAATAATAAAAAATAGCTTCCAAAATCGTAAGTGACTTTTTGGCAGCATTGACTTGCACTGTTTTTGCTTTTATTTTATTATTTTTTAATCTTGCTTGAAATCAGTGAAAACAATTGATGATAACAAGCAATAATACTTTGCTCTTTAATTCTCTGCAGATCACTTTTATACTAAAAATGTGGCTTCATGAAATATATCTGGCCTTAACGGATCTAAAACTAAATATTGCAAAAAGCAAATTAATTTAATTAAATAATCCATTTGCAGTTTATTTTTAGTCCCAAGAATAAGCACAAATTAATTCAATAATTATAATAATAGCTATGTCTCAAAAAAATTATAGCAAGTAAAATGCAAAGTATCTTTCTTGCATATTTTAATTGCGTATGTAGGGCAGTGGCAATGTAAACTGAATATAATTTGATTAAAATTTTGTTTTTAACTCAAAAGCAACATTAAATTTTAAAAGTAATGCTTAAGATGTAGACAAGTTTTCGAAAGTGGTATATCAAGTTTAAGATGATATAATCGAAAGACAAGTACAAATTGCTTACCATAACTATATTAAAAATGAATAGAAAACTAAGGAAATGTTGAAAATTTGTTGCGTGCCCTCGTATCTATTGAGAAAAATTGGCATTTAGCAAACATAGATTACTAAGTACCATATATAGGTAGATATTTATCACATATATACAAAATTTAATTTGATTGTTAATCCAGCTTATAAACGTATTCTTTTCTGTAAATTCACTATGCAACAAATATTGCTTATAAAACGTTAAAAGTCAGCTTTTATATGAAACATTATTTTATACATTTTAGAGTACATTTTTGTCTTAGATTATTATATCTAACATCATTTCTAGCTATGCGAATTCATGTTCATGTTCATGAACGACAACAACTTTTATCAAACTTCATGTTCATGTTCATGAACGACAACAACTTTTATCAAACTTCATGTTCATGTTCATGAACGACAACAAATTTTATCAAACTTCATGTTCATGATCATGAACA